GTATGTTATTTAGAAGCTTTTGAAAGTAAAAGGCCAAGAAGCGCACGAGCAAATTTGGAGATTGGATTCAAAACTCAGAAATGACAAGTTTTTAGGTGTTTTTGGTGATTCTGTGTTCTTGGTGTTTTCATGGCTTAAGCATGCGTGTGATTTGTGGAAAATAACTTGTGTATGTATAAGCAAAAGGTCTTGAGTGCTTTGGAGAGCCAGAAGTACAAGTTACAAGCTAATTGCTAGGTTACTTGATTTTGAAGAAAAGTGGGAAAACAAGTTTCAATGTGTAGTACAAGCACGGGCTGGGTGATTGTAAGTGTCTAAACAAGTTTCTCTTGAGTTATAAGACATGTATGATCAGAAGAGAACAAGTGCAAGGCTCAAGAACAAATTTTATGCAAAAAGCTACTTTATCAAAATGACATTGTGCACTTTCTTCCCAAAATGGATATAAAGCACGGCCTTGCATTGAATGCTTGAATTGAGACCTCTAACAACTATGCAAGCAATTAATTATGGAGTGCCTAACAAGTTTGAGGCCTGCAAAGTAGAGGTTATGCAGCATAAGTTTGAATTTTGAATCTTGTTCATCACAAAATGACTTGTAATTCAAGTGTGAAAACCCTAACTTCATCTCTTCGATTCTCCCTACTCAAAAATTATCTCAAGGAGTTCTTGGACATTTTGGAAAGCTTGTAATTTTCTCTACAACCCATCTTTGAACCACTTTTAAAAATTACCCTTGGAACTATATGAAAATGTGCCATGACGTTAGATCAAAATCCTGACCAAATTAGGGCAAAATTTCACTAAGTGTTTTGTTTCATGACCATGTATTCTTAAAATTATAACTTGAGATCCAAGCACTTTTGGAAGGAGTTGTGTAGAGAAATGTTGTATATTTCATGGAGATCTATAACTTACATGTTGAAAGTTTCTTTTGAATCATCTTGCATCATGGTGAAATTTTTTCTCAAAGTTGTGGAAAAAAAAAGAAATTTCCAACACTTAGAAAAATTTCTAAGTTTTAGAAATTTTAACTTTTCAAAATAAAATCTTGAATTTTTGATTTCTTGATGAATAAGTTTCATATTTTGACATGTTTTGATGAATTATGATCTTTGATATTTTATTTTGACCAAAAAGTCAAAGTTTGACTTTTCAGTAAACAATTGACTTTTGATCAGTTGACTGAAAATTCATCTGTCAATCCATTGGACTTGAGCAATGTTTTGAGACATGTCATTAGGTCAAAATGATTCAATTGGACTATTGAGATCATTACTTAAACCAATTGATCATTTTCCAGGTCAAAAATCAGAAATTGCCATTTCCCAGTCAAAACCCTAATTTTGACCATTTTGCCCTTTTGAAGATTTGATCAAATTTCTTGAGGAATTGGGGTCCAAACTTGATCAAATGATACATATGAGTTTTAAAATGTTGATGTGGATAAAAAATTATGAAGTTTGACTGTAAATTGGCCACAATTGACTTTTTCCCCAATACAGTTGATTTTTAGGTCAACTGCTCAATTGACTGAGCAAAAGTGTGATCCAAAGCTTGAAACTTGACATGAGTAATCTTGAGGGTTCATAATGATCTATGAAAGTCACATGGGGCATTTGAAGTTCAAATATCCTTTTGCAAACTCAAACCCTAATTTTGGTCACCAGGGCTTAAGGAGGTGTCTTGAGTTGATCAATCCTAGTGCAGTCTTGAGCCAAAGGAGATCCTGTGAGAAAATTCTTGATAAATGAGAGGGCAAATTTTGGGGTACAACAGTGATTTGCATGAGGAGGTTTACATGAGCCTTCCACCTGGCTTTAATGGTGTTCCCCTATCCAAAGTTTGCAAGTTACATAAATCTCTATATGGTTTAAAACAGGCTAGCAGACAGTGGTACTCCAAATTATCTGCTTTCCTTATTTCTATGGGTTATCATCAGTATTTAGCTGATTACTCACTATATGTTAAATATTCTTCTCATAAATTCACTGCATTATTAGTTTATGTTGATGATATAGTGCTAGCGGGAAATTCCCTTATAGAGATTAATCATGTCAAAGAGGCTTTGGATCAACAATTCAAGATTAAAGACTTGGGACAACTGAGATTCTTTCTTGGCCTTGAGATTGCTCGATCTGCAGAAGGGATTTTTTTGAATCAACGAAAATATACTTTGGAACTACTTCAGGATGCTGATGCCCTTGCTGCTAAACCGTCCTTTGTTCCATTTGATCCTAACCTCAAACTCTTCATTCATGAGGGACCTTTGTTAGAAGATCCTACTGTTTATAGGAGGATGATTGGTCGCTTGATTTATCTGACCAACTCAAGACCTGATATCTCTTATGTTGTTCAACATTTAAGCCAGTACATGTCTCAGCCCATAATACCTCACTTGCAGGCTGCCAATCGTGTCCCGAGATATCTTAAATCTGTTCCTACTACAGGTCTATTGTTTTCTGCATCCAGTGCCTTAAAGCTTGTAGGATTTGCCGATGCAGACTGGGCTAGATGTCTGGATACTCGAAAATCTATAACTGGATATTGTGTCATGCTTGGCTCCCCTCTCTTATGCTGGAAATCCAAAAAGCAACACAATGTGTCTAGGTCCTCCACTGAAGCAGAATACCGGGCTTTAGCCTCCGTTACTTGTGAGATTCAGTGGTTACATTGCCTCTTTCGTGACCTGCATATTGGTTTCTCCCAACCTTCATCTATTTTCTGTGACAGTAGATCAACCATTTACTTAGTCCACAATCCAACCTTTCACGAGCGGAGTAAGCACATTGAACTTGACTGTCATGTAGTTCGCGAGAAAATTCAGTCCAAGCTCATCCATCTTCTACCTATATCCACCCATGATCAACTAGATGACATGTTGACTTAACCCCTACATTCACCAACATTAAAGAACACACTGGTCAAGTTAGGACTTTTCAATATCCAAAGACCAACTTGAGGGAGGTTGTTAATATCTCTATATATAGATATGATAGTTTTTTTATATTCGGTTGGAGCTTAGCCTCTCAGGGGATGCCACGCATGTTGTTTTGCCCCTTTTATATATATATATATATATATATATATATATATATATATATATATATATATATATATATATATATATATATATATATATATATATATATATATATATATATATATATATATATATATATATATATATATATATATATATATATATATATATATATATATATATATATATATATATATATATATATATATATATATATATATATATATATATATATCTTAGTGTACCCTTTTTATTATTTAATAAATGAAGAAGCTTTACTCCAATAGCCTTAACTGTTTTTTGTTACACATTTCCTCTGTTTTAGTCTTCTTCTTCTTCCTTTCTATGTATCACCAAGGTGAGGTTATCACCATTCACAAAGTTCAAGAGTTTTGCATACCTGTATAACGAGGACCAATTTTTAGTCTCATTGAAACTTAATTCTCACATCTTATGTCTGTATTTTCTTCTCTTTCATAATATTTATGTTGACAATGTTGGAGAAGAGGAAAAAGAAAGTGAGAAGGATGAACAAAGTAAAGTGATTAGTGACGTGTTTATAGAAAGTTGCACAAATGATGAAATCAGGTGACAATGAAAGTCGAAAATGAAAAGGGAAAAGCAATGGAAAAAAGATTAAATTTGTCAAGTATGAGCTCTATCAAAATGATGATATTCATGTTAAATATGAGACTGGATCCTCAAGTGAAAATTAAGTAGAGGATCCAAATTCATATTCGGATGCCTAAGCTAGAGTTAAAAACTGAAAATCAGATCCACTATCATGTTTTGTTTATCTATTATTCCCTATGTTCCTTTTTAAGTGTCATTTTAACATAAAACTCTTCAATTAAGATAGTAAATTGTTTGAGTTATTTTTCCTATTATACCCTCATTTATTTTCTCTTTCCAAATAAATTCAATCATACATTCTCTCTCTTTTTCCAATAACTAATTGAAAAATAATTAATTTTATGGAAAATGTGAATCGGAGTTATTGAGAAAATAGAGATATAATTGACAAATTATAACATTGAACTATAAAATGATAATTAAATAGAAACAAAAAAAAATTCTTCTAAAATGATACTTAAAAAGAAACAGGTGAAACAAGTAATTAGATGTTAAAGTAATTGGTATTATATAATTCTATGAGATACTTTGTTATAACATGTTCAAATCTAATCATAACATGTTAGCAGACACATTACTTAATTTTCAATATGCTTCAATCTATTCATAACATATTTCAAATGAGAGTTTTAATAAATCGAAAAAAATAAAATAATTGTTTGTAACCAACAATTTATCATAATAAATGTTCTTAGATACACGGATCAACATGTAGATGTAAATGATGTTATTTTATATAATTGAAATCATAGAATCAGCTGTATACCATTTATTCACTTTAACTTATTTTTAAATATTCAATTAATGTAATTTCTCTAACATGTTTTTCTGATATATTTTTTTGAAATTTTAAGTTTATAATAATAAGTATGTTCTCATAATTTGTTGAGTTATATTTTTATTGTTTTTGAAAATACTATTTAGATCAATACTTAAAAGTTTATGCATTTTTATTAGTCGATATTTGAAACTATATGAATATTTATAAATCGCAAAATAAATTTCAAAGCCGACAAATAAGATATTACAGTGTGTAATATAAATTCAGACGAAACCCATCAAATATCTTACTAGTTAACACTAAAAACTTTTCATCGAGCAATCGCCCCTCAAACACAATAACGAATAGACACCATCAACGAATAGGGAAGACGATTTCAACCATAGAGTTTAGTTAACTTCAATCACACTATTTACTAAATTTAACATTATATTTAGAAAAGTTTAGATTTTGAAAATTATTTGGAAGCCCCGCAATCAAGGTGGGTTAGGAGTCAAAGATGTTGAGATTTTGAATATTGCATTATTGAGTAAGTGGAAGTGAATGATTTTGACGGAGAAAGAAGTGGTTTGGGTGAATATGTTAAGGTGTAGATATGGCAATATCGAGATTAAGGTGCAAATTGGTGATGATAGTGTTTTGCAAAACAATGATTTTATTTGGTGGCGTGATGTTGTTTTATCTGATAATGCCACTGTTGCACCCCATTTCAAATTTGTAGGTTCTGTCCAAATCAAACTTAGGAATGACAGCGGTCGAACTTTCTGGCAGTCTTCTTGGTTGGGGCTGCAATCGCTGCAGGAGGTGTTTCCAGAATTTTTTCAGCATGCCATAAACACTTCGGCTAGCGTGGAAGAAGCAGTGGCTGGTCTGGTGAGCAAATTTTAGATTTTGTGGGAGACATTGATCAGCTTGTTTGGCCAGAGTTCATCGAGTTAGTGCAGGCCTCTTCTTTGGACAGAAACTCGTGTGACAGTTACGAGTGGATTGATGGCAGCGATGGTAATTTTATGGTCAAATCTTGCCATGACATTATTTGTAATGGTGAGGCTAGCTACTCCATTGGGGAAGACGTGGTGGATGCTATCAATCATCTTTGGGAGGTCAACGTTCCGTCCAAGATTTCTTTTTCAGTTGCATACTCATTTTTAACAGGTTGCCTTCTAAAGAACAACTCACGAAATGTATGATCGATGATGAATCCACTTTACATCTTTTCGGTAATTGTCGTTATTCGAAGAACATATGAAACAAGGTTTTTATTTGGATTGATAATGGTTCGAATTTGTCTTTCACAAAGTTGGTGTCTTTTTTCTTACATTGTGAGAAGGTAAAGAATAAAGTGAGAAGGTTGATTATTGCAGTGATTTGGCTTACTTCCACATGGAGCATTTGATTGATGCGGAATGATGTTATTTTTAATAATTCAGTTTTCAATTTCGATGATCGTATGACTATGATTTTTCACTTTAGAATACTCTTCATCTTCTATGTTTTAGGTTGTAGGAATGTTCCATATTATATTTTCGAGTAGAGTATCCCTAGTACTCTCGATTAATACAATTTACCTATTGAAAAAAAAATTAGTAAAGTTTAGAATAGATAATGTGAATAGAAACATTACTTTTCTAGCATTGTCACTGAGAAGTGAAAAACACTTCGTTCAACATTCTAAACATCCTTGCCAGTCTGCAAGATTTTAAGTTCCTGAATCAAGGCATCAATATCACCATAAGAACTTCCACCTTCTTCAACAGCTCTTTTTGCATCCTCAGAAATACTTTTGACTCTCCTTCTCATTTCCTCTACCTCTTCACTCTCCACCATCAACTTCTTCACTGCAAACTCCACTTTCTCTCTTCCCACCAACTCTTTCCTCTCTGCATCGCAAAACCCCCACTCTCTGCTACCCACCTGAACCCCAATCCTCAACACATCAGTTACCAGCTTCTCATTGACAAATTGCTCAGCCGAAAGTGGCCATGTTATCATAGGCACACCAGCACACACACATTCTAAAGTTGAGTTCCATCCACAATGAGTCATAAACCCACCAACTGCATCATGCTCCAATATCAATAGCTGAGGAGCCCAACCTCTAAAAATTAAACCTTTATCCATCTCCTTCATTCTCTTTTCAAACTCATCAAGAGCCCAAATTTCACTATCACTTTTAGATGAGTTGAGAATCTTCCCAACCACCCAAATGAATGGTTGATCGGAAGCCTCGAGACCATAAGCAATTTCCTTGAGCTGTTTCATAGGTAAGCAAGCTGCGCTTCCAAAACTAATGTAAAGAACTGAATTGGGTTTCTTAGAATTCAACCAATTCAAGCAACTTTGTTCATCAATAGTGGGTTGTTTCCCTCTCTCTTTCTTATCTTCTACGCTTCTGTTGCAGAGAGAAACTGGTCCTACAAGCCATGTTTTCTTTCCCAATTCATTTCTGATGTAATCAGCATAAACTGGTTCCAAATCATAGAAGCTATTGATAACAATCCCTAAGCCTTTTTCCTCTATTTGCTTTATCCTATCAACAAACTCAGATTTGTTTCTCCTGAAACTCGGTACTTGAGACCTTGTCATCTCAACTCTATCAGGAAGACCAGGGACAAGGAAAGGTTCTGAGTCAGAACTCAGATTCTCAAACACAACATGTTTTCTCATATTTTCGAAGACGCAGCGAGGGAAACACCCGTCCCCGTTGAAGACAATCATTGGGACTTTAAGTTCGTCAGTGACGTCACCAGCCCAGCGATGAAAAATGTCAACCACTATACAATCGGGTCGGTGTTGGAGGAGTAACAGTTTGAGAGGTTCGAGGAGAATCGAGGTATCGATCATGGGACCAGCAGACATGTCAGTGTCAGGTAATTGGGTGTTTTCAGGAAGGGTGAGAGTGTAGATGGTGATAGGAAGATTCGATTTTTGGTCGCGGGTGATTGAGTTTTGGAATTGTGCAGCGCAGGAAGGTGTGGTTAGGATGGTTGATGTGGCTCCATGTTTGGCAAACACTCTTGCTGTGTCTATCATTGGGATTTGATGACCTCCACCTAGGAAGGGAAAGAAGTATATTTTAACTGTGCCAGTTTCATGGTTCATGTTGAAATGGAGATGATGGAGATGATGATGATGATGATATTCACTTTACTTCTAAGTGAGAAACTGAGTTATTCATGAAGACGCGGGTCCAGTTATTTGGAAGATGGGTGAATTATAATAGATTCATGTCGGTACGATGAATCAGAAAAGGTTGACATGCAAACGTCATGAATGACATATTACAGTCTGATGGATGTTGAAATGGAGATGATGATGATGTTCACTTTACTTCTCAGTGAGAAACTGAGTTATGAGAAAGATGGGAGAATTATACTAAGATTCTTGTCGGTAAAGTCAATCAGAAAAGGATGAAATGCAAACGTCATGAATGACTTATTACATTCTGATGAATACATATGGATCGAATACTCACACTATAATTAGGATCACTCGGTGCACACAATTCAAAAATACAATTAATAAGAATTTTAAATGAATCAAATGAGTTTGTTTAAGTGAAACTTCAATGCATATTTATTATACGGGAAATGGTATATATATCGTATTTTACATGTAAACAGTGGATTATTATATTTTTTCTCTTCCACAACGAGGGATTTAATCTATTATTCCAGACATATTAATAAAAATATAAAAATATAAAAGAGAATAATGATTTTACTACGGTGTTATTAATTATATATTGAAAATAATAAAAGTTTAATTAATCAAAAGATAAAATTAAAAAAAAATATTAAAAATTAAAATAAATCATTTATTTTAGGATATTATTTTATTCTAAATGAGTTAATTATTCTGAACTGGAGAGAGTAATATATATATATATATATATATATATATATATATATATATATATATATATATATATATATATATATATATATATATATATATATATATATATATATATATATATATATATATATATATATATATATATATATATATATATATATATATATATATATATATATATATATATATATATATATATAATTTTTAAATCAAGAGATATTGATATAAATTTCGATTTAAATTTGTATAATTAATCAATTTTATAATTTTATTAAATTAATATTTTATATTTTATTAACTAACTTTAATTTAAGGTTAAAATTTATAATATTTTACCGTTTATTAACTAACTCCACATCTTTATTAACTAATATTTTAATTTTTATTAATTAATTTTGTTTTATTACTAAAAATTATTTTAATATATCGGTGTTAGGACTGTTATCAACGAATATGTGACTAAGGACTGTTAGTCAACTTTTCAAAATCAGAATGTCTAGTCAAAGATGAGAAAGATGTTATTCTGATGAAGGGCATTAGGTCTAAACACAACTATTATCTGTGAGAATCTCAAATAACTGATTATTCTTCCATATGTTTGATAACCAATAAAGATGAAGTAAAATTATGGCACCAAAACCTTGAACACTTTCATTTAAAAGGAATGAAAGAAATCTTATCTGAATGAGCTATTAAGGGAATGTCATATCTCAAGGTCGGGGAAAAGAAAGTTTGTGATGAGTGTGAAATTGGAAAGTAAACCATGATGTCACACCCAAAATTGCAACATCAGACTACTTTCAAAGTGATGAAACTTCTTCATATGAATATAATGGGACCAATGCAGATAGAAATCCTGGGTGGAAATAGGTATATTTGTGTGGTTATAGATGATTTTTATGGATATACTTGGATGAACTTTCTTAGAGAAAAATTAGATACTTTTGAAGTCTTCAAAGATTTGTGTCAAAGCATTCAAGAGGAGAAGAATACTTTTTTTAGGATTGTGAGAAGAAACCTGGATAGTAGGGTTACTTCGATATGAAAGCCTGGATAGTAGGGTTGTGAGAAGGAACCTGGATAGTAGGGCTGTGAGAAGAAATCTGGATAGTAGGGTTACTTCGATATGAAATCCTGGATAGTAGGGCTGTGAGAAGGAACCTGGATAGTAGGGTTACTTCGATATGAAAGCCTGAATAGTAGGGCTGTGAGAAGGAACCTGGATAGTAGGGTTACTTCGATATGAAAGCGTAGATAGTAGGGTTGTGAGAAAGAACCTGGATAGTAGGGTTACTTCGATATGAAAGCCTGGATAGTAGGGCTGTGAGAAGGAACCTGGATAGTATGGTTACTTCGATATGAAAGCTTGGATAGTAGGGTTGTGAGAAGGAACCTGGGTAGTAGGGTTACTTCAAAGTGATAGTATAAATTAGTTTACCCGTTTGATTTCGGGAACTGAGTTTCCATTAGTCGTCTGCAGACGTGACCTGTATAACTGCTGGATTTGTCGAAGCTAATCGTCTTTTCCTGCAAAAGATATCAGGGTTAGTTATATGTGATGCATGAAATGCAGGGTGAGATGATGTTCTCAAAATAAATGAGATTATGATGCATATGATATCCATGTGTATGTCATGATGTATGTTCATGAAATGCTACCGGGGTATGCGCGCGTCTTGGGAAAATAAATCCCTGACGGTTGCTGGAGTTTTGTAAATATTCTTTCGGAGAAGGGATGCCGGAGAATAACTCTGCGGGGACCAACTTAGGGGAAGATATACTCTGTTGGTAGACCTGCTGATCTGGAGGAATAAACTCAGCTGGGGATGGAATTTACTAACTCGCCCGCGATTATGAACCTTGGCTGGGGATATTCATGTTCTATTTCGAGAAAGCTGACATCAATGCCTTTGGATACTTTTACTCTGTGGGGAGTGTATGTACCCGTGATTGTGTTCTAAAACTGACTCTATCCCGATACCTGATGGGCAGAGTAACTGTAGGGTTTGACACTTCTTGTTTTTCTCTGT